CGAGCTTGGCATGCTGTTTGATGAAGTGGGGCGAGGGAACGCACAGACAGACAGACTGTAAATCCACTACAGTTTCAACACACAGTACATATAAAACATATTCCTGCAATGCAATGCAGGTCTCTTAAATTCAAGAAGAAATGAAGAAAAGCTCTTTTAGATCACATTAACATTCATATTGTGCACGTTGCGTATTGTATCATCTTTTCTCTCTATAAAACAAAATATGACATGTACTCACATAAACTAGTACCAACCAACGTTAACCAATAATATCATGACGTCCATCCATCAATCAGGTGCGTGCGTGTGCGGCCACAGTCCTCTGTAGCTTCGTATCGTGCTACTTTCTAAGCCCGCCCACTTTTAGCGGTCCAATGCGGAGGATTTGATTTAAAATCTCTCTTGTAACTGCGCACCGCTTAAATATTCCGTTTCACTGGAGAGTGCGTCACAGAACAGAAGCTACAGACGCTCTATATTGCATGTCCACATGGATGAAAACAGAGCATAGTGTGTATGCAGTCCAAACGGATATGGACCTTTTCTGTTGTTGCACTGCATGTGTATACTTCAGAAGTGCTTTCCTGGAAGTAGACTGCTTTTGACAGTTTTGTATATTAGTTTTGGTTTTGAAAATAGTTTTGAAATCAACTCATGAGGTAGTTAAAAAAAAAATGTATCGACTTTCTCCCCCAGATATGATGTCAAGGCTCTGAGTAACATCTGAAAAGAGGTCATGGACTAATATTAGTCCATGACCTCTGTGGTTGCAGAAATATGGTTTGGAATTTGATGTAATTCCATACATGGCAGACTGACGTGGGATTAAAATCACAGACGTCCTCCACACTAATACAAATTACTAGCGGGCCCCAGGTCACACTAGTCCCGTGCGAATAGAGCTTAACTGTGTGGAATCTGCAGTTCTCAAATCATTTTTTAATACAAGACTAGCAGGAGCAAACAGGGTGGGGGAAAGAGGAGGCATTGAAAGATGGATGTGGAAGCAGAGAGAGCGAGAGACAAAGCGGGGGACAGAGAGAACCAGGTGGCTCCAGGTCCGCCGCTCGTACATTTATGTTTTGATTGATGTGATAATTCTGGTTCTGAGCAACCGCCTCCGGGATTAAACCTGCGAAAAACACAGAGAGAAGGAGGGGGGCGTTTGGGGAGACACAAAAAAGCATGAAAGCAAATGCGGGAACACATTGATCTCCCCCTGTGGAGATGCATTTCAAATGTAAAAAAAAAAGACAGGAGATCTAATATTTGAAGCGTTTTCGACGATTTTACATATTCTTGTTTCGACATCACTCTCCTTCTCTCACGGCGAAATCAGCGAGACAACAACGCTTGTGTGTCACCCTCTCTTTGTCCGTCTCACAGGGATCTGATTAGCAGCACAAAAATATGTGAAGAACAGGAAGAACATGTACAAAGGGAAACAATGTGTGTGAAACAATCGCATCTCTAAAGGAGAAAAGGAGGCGGGACATTAAAGAGGACAGTCTGGTTTGAGTCAGCACGCTTTGAATACAGAGCACATTTGCATGAGATTTGTATCCGTTTGTTGATGTTGGAATAAGCCGTTTCTATCCCGTGTCTGGGATGGGTCAGTCCTCTCTGGTAAATACCC